CCAGTAGCAGAAAATGGAACTGTTGTCTAGGTAACATCAAATTCCTATGAATGATCCAGATCCAATAGTTTGTCCCAAACAGAACAAAACCATAAAGCCCCTGGTCCAGATAGAGACCTAGAGACAAAATATCAGGAGATTCTTATACATATGAATGCTCCATGGGAATGTCAGGAAGTAGAGTAGAAGAGTATCCAATATCTCGTTTCTTTAATTATAGTGTGATCCTTTGGGTTGGCCCATGAAAAGCATCTGATATTAACAGCTTATACAAATTTACAACAGTACACTGGAGAAGGAACGAATGTGGGGCTTTCATTTCAATCTCTGTTTACCTGCTGTCCCTGGAATTTACAGTCACGGTTTGGAAAACACTGCAAGGACAGCTAATGCCTATAAACATACCTGTGGTCATGCTGTCAATATATAAAAGAATTTTTGATGCAAAATAATAAAATGCTTCAACTGCAAATCTGCCACGGACTCTTGGGTTCCTCTAGATTGACCAACATTCAGCTACATTCAACTAATTGAAAATAAAATTGGTTTTACACTGGTTGATTCTACCCGAAGGAAAAAGTTAATGAGGTAACACTGGAAATTTCTTCAGGATTCCAATGAAAATCAAGACAAGAGAAATCATTCCAGTTATAAAGTACAAAGAAGCCAATTTATTATATTCCAAAAATTAATAATATTCAAAACTTTAAAATCCAGCATAAAAATTCAATGGTAAGCTTCCTGAATATTAAGCAAATATTTGCCAAATTCTGGTGTTGGTTACATCATTAGTAAAATTCCAAAGTACTGAACAGAAGCTACAGGGGCCTGAAGGGCTGATGTGGAGAAAGAAGTTTAGATGCCATTGTTATAACACAGAAAGGAAAATAGTTGGGGCTATAGAAACATCAATGATGAGAGGGGATCACTGATCGGCTGGCTCTTGAATGACCCACAACTGTAATTGAGCCACCAATCAGGGCCTGCGCCTTGAGCACGAATTGCACTCTGGCCTCTTGGTTCATACATCCAAGCTAAACCACTGAGGCAAGCCAGCCAGTGATTTCTCAAATTTTTACAGTGTAAGAATTTGCTGCACTATAAAAGTCTCTGATATCCAGTAAATTTTGACCTCTTGGTACAGTGTGCGAGCCACATCCCGTGTGGTTTCAGGGTTCAGGATCTGGAGAAGGGCCAGGTGAAAATGACAGAGATGAGACAAGAAGTAATAATTTGGAAATATTGGGAGCCAGGCGGAAAGTCCAACACAAGGGGAAGGACTTAAAATGGTGACCAGGCCTTGCCAACCTTTTATTCAATTTTGGATACACATATATCCCTTGGTCAGGCAGGCAATTCCGGTAACAGACAGACTATCTTAAAGGTCAGTAAATATTAGTAAAGATTGACTCTGAGACTATTTGGTCAGGAAATAGCTTGAGCCCCCATTGTCTCGACTAAACAATCGGTGCATAACTCTGGCTCTTGCCAGGGCTCAAGGTTGAACCATGTTCCAGGCTCCTTGTTTACACTTTTCTAGTAGTGAAGACAGTGGGTAGCTTCCAAAAGTACAGGATCTTGCACATGTTCTACAGTTGAAAGGTTTCTTCTGCAGTATGAAGTCTCTCATGTTTAGTAATACATGCATGACTTTTAAGGCTTCACTACATTTTTCATATTCATAAGGCTTGTTTGCAGTCAGAATTCTCTGACATTCAATAACTTCTCACTGCTGGTCAAGGGCTTTTGACACTCCTCATATCTGTAATACTTTTCTCAAGTATGAACTCTGCTGTACTTAAGGCAGGGACACTCATTAAAGGCTTTGTTAAATTTTCACATTTATAAGGCTCCTCTCCAGTATGACTTCTCTGATATGCAGTAAGGTTTGAGGAGCTGCCAATGGATGTGCCACATTCTCTTCATTCATGTGGCTTCTCTCCAGTATGAACTTTCTTATGCTTTGTAAGTTGTGAGGACCATCTAAAGGCTTTGCCACACTCTCTACATTTATAAGGCTTCTCTCCAGTATGGACTCTCCGATGTAGATTAAGG